CACAGCAGAGACGAGCAGGGTGACAAGCAGTGGCTCATCTTCAGCTGTCTCCAAGAAGAGATTCCTATCTCTATCTCTGGCTGATTTTCCAAGTTCTTGGGAGGAGCCGCCCAGCAGCAGCACAGTTTGCTCGCTGACCTCCCACCAGCCGGGAGGGCAGAGCTGGAAGTGCCCGGTAGCTCAGCATGGTGTAGGTCTTCTCCTCCCAAAACAGCCTGCCTGGGAAACTTTATCTCGCTGCCTGCAGGCTGGAGAGCAGGCGATGAAAAATCCCAAGCGGTGTCAGAGGAACGGGAGCGAGGGGACCGACCCAAACCAGCCCCAGCGAGACAGGAGCTAAGGGCACGACTGAAACACCAGGGATGTGAAAGCTGAATCAGGGGGGTGGGGAGGGATGGGATTAAGGTTTGGGAGCGGGATTTATTGCTAGGCAGGGAGTTGAGGCAGAATGGGATCTGCAAAGGGTTGTGAACACTTACCAGCCAGGCRGCTCACGCTCAAAAGATCTGCTGCTCGCCTGCCACCCAGAAACCCAGTGACCTCCCAAGGAGGGACAGCACTTTGTAGCCCGGTGGGTTACTGTTTTCTGTGCTAAAATTGCTCGATGCAAAGGGCAAATGGTCAGAGACRGGCAGCTGGTCACACGTCTGATGGATTTTCCCCATGGAGGGGGAGTTTTTGTAGCTTTCTGAGATAAATCTGCCTTCACAGACTTCACTGTGAGCTGGACCGCTGTGACTGGGGGAATTAGGCTTGCCCTAGCTGGCAATTTAGAAAACCCCCATCCTATAGAGATCACACACTTGGAGGGCTGAGCCACASAGCCCATCACATCCCTGGCACACATTCAGCTTCCAAACTCTCCTCCTCTCTCCCCAAACACCAACAACATCCCAGGAGCTGAACAAGACTCCGGAGAGACGTGAGAAAAACCACCCTCTCCTTGGACCTTGCACACTAAAAGCAAGATGCTAAGTCCCAGTTTATTACATTTATAGGGTAAAGGGGGGAATAATAACCCAGCTAGAGGGCCTGTGGGGTCAGAGCCGAGGAGGCAGCGGGAGCACCTCGCTCCTGCAAAGCAGCCGCCGACACCTGCGGCAGCAGCCGTGGGGCCGTGGGGTTTGGCTCTCCCAGTTATTTTCCCGTCTGAGGCCTTTGACTGAGACCAGATTTCAGGCCAGGCTGTTCAAATACAGCCCTGYCTTTGAAGAGGTTTATGAGTGGAGCGTTACAGGAGATATTCCAAAGGGAAAAACAATGAAAGGTGAGAGAAAAGGGAGCTGAATAAAAATACTCCGCATACCAAATCCTTCCAGCACAGTTTGCCACCTACTTAAAAAGGCACAGTTTTAAAATACACATTGGGTGTAAAAGCCAAAAACCTGGAGGAGACATAGGGAGGGGCGAGTCCAGCACTGTTAATTCCAATACCAGATGAGGATGTATTTTCATAGGGTTGTAGAGAGAGCGAGACACATGAAAGAGACTGCTTTGCTCCTTTTCTTTCAGGGTTACATACTATGTGGCAGATGTGTCAGTCTTTTAAAGGCCCTGCAAGTTTGCCCATAAATGTCCAACATTTATGCAACACCTGTTTTTCTCCCAGAATGTCACAGGACATTTTAAAAGCTTTAGATTTATCATCTTTTCCCCGCAGCAGCCATGCTGAGGTGACACATGGTTCACATTTAACAGAACATAGCAACTCCGCACATTATTTTGGGAAAGGGCTGAAGATTAACATCCCACTATGTGAAGATTCAGGAGTTAACGGCCAAGTAAGAGCTGGCTTCAGATCTTTAGTGTCCGCAAACTGTCAAGACTTAAGTTTCACTGCAGTCCCTCTACCGTCCCAAACTCATTGGGGCTGCACGCAGTGCTGTGAACAGGCTGCCTGAAAGCAAAATGCTCCAGCCCAAATTCACTTTAATTTCGAGCCCTCTGACTTCATGTGAGATTTTGCACGTTCCCATTTTTGCTGCCCTGAAAATGCACAAGGGACTTGCACATTTTTCCAGTGTTTTCCCCTGCATTTAAGCGTTCGCAGCGAATGACCTTGTGGATTCCATCAGCGAGYGGGGAATGGAGCAGTGTGACTTATCTGACCAAGCACCAACTAATCAGTGCTGCTGCTTAGATAGGAAATAATGAGTATTTGCCCTGCGCTGCTCACAATCAGGCTGGAGAGCTTAAAAGAAATCATTAAAGGCCTCTTTTGAATGCTACAAGCGGCAACGAATAAACTCAGTCATAATCTGGGCATAAATTCGAGGCAAGCRCAGTCAGCAAGCGGGGAAAAGAGACATTCGTCAGCTTAATTATTTGTTGTGCGCTAATTGATGAGCGTCACCCTGCAGTGGGCGAGAAGCCAGGGCTGGCACAGGGACGAGTGGCACCCGAGGAAGCAGGGACACGGGCAGGCTGTGCAGGGGGCTGATGGCAGATCTGCTGGCGGGGCAGGGCACGGGGCCGTGCTGCTCACAGCCTGCCCTGTGCATGACCCAGGAGCAGCTTTGAGACACAGGAAGGCCATTGCCGGCCAACCTCCAAGGGAGAGAAAGCTTCTGTTGTGTATCTGGAGGGGATAAAGTCTTCCGTGAAGGACAAAGCAAAATCCCATCTCCTTTTAATCTTCCTCCCCTCCTGACCCAGCACAGGTTGCCAGCTCCCTTCTGCCTGGCTGCTCTAGGAAGCCGCTTCTCGCTTTGTATCCTGCCGTAGATAAAAGCAGACGCTATTTTCTAAAACATTACCTACGTGACACTGCCAAAGTGAGGGAAATAAATAACCTGGGCATAACTGGCTGTCTCTGGGCTCTTGGCCGCCCGCGAGGAGCTCGTGGGGTGTGCGGCACTGCTGGGAGAGGCTCTGGCTGCTTCCTCTGATTCATTTCAGGAAATCTTCTCTCCAGTAACTGTCTCCTCCACTTCTTTTCTTCCCCTTCCCTTTTATAAGTTTTCCCTAGACAAGGCTGTCTAGAAAGGCCTSTCAGAAATCAGAAAAGTCTTTCTTTAGGCTCTGCTTACGTACTTTGTTCCAGACTCAGATCGCAGATTTGCCTAGTTGAAGGTCCTGCAGTCTGCTCCCTGTAGATTTAAATGTACTGAATTTGCTGTTTGAAAATTCCCTCAACTTTGACCATCTTCAATGGTGAACTTTAATTTCTTYCCCCTCAGCCTTTCCTTTTTGTCACAGAAGGGATAAACCTACGACTCCCATGAGAAAAACCTGCCTCAGTCATCAGTTAGGTTTTCCTTCAACTGCTTTGCCCCGCAGCACTTGGAAAAGAAAGAGAAAAATTGTCCTGTCCTTTCAGCCTCTTGACATTTCTGTCCAACACCTTGGAGAGGAAAACCAGCAAGTGCCT